GCTGGGCCCCGTTCGGATTTCGAATTTGGGTTCCTCATGACATTGGCTGACATTGACGTGTGAAAAAGTCGTGGGTCCTCATCCCCGTTACGAAAGTTAATTCATCTTGGCTAAAATTGACATGTGTGGGCGCTGTGGTGAGAAGTGGTATGGGAGTGATTCTCCCTTGTGGTTTCATACGGGGAGAGATTCAGAGTTGCCTGGAAGTGACCGGGAGTGATTTCTCCCTTCTGATTTACGGGGGAGAGATTTTATCCTGAATTGGTTATATACTATTAATGCTACCAGGAAGAACCCTGGAAATCTCTGCCGCCAAGCCACGCTGAAGACTGCCGTGCTAGGAGTCTACGGGGGGAAGGGGGGGCCACCCGGAGACGCCCTAGTCGTCAGTGCTCAAGATGAAAAACTTTCGTAACGGGTAAGCGGTATCTTACATTGCACTTCTATAAGGGTGAGACCAGCGCTACCCCTTGACAGCAGCGCCTTTGGCCGCCACAGCGCGCTTGCACGATGATGGCGACATGTCTATCGAGCGCGATGCTGGGCCCCGTTCGGATTTCGAATTTGGGTTCCTCATGACATTGGCTGACATTGACGTGTGAAAAAGTCGTGGGTCCTCAGCGGTATCTTACATTGCACTTCTACAAGGGTGAGACCAGCGCTACCCCTTGACAGCAGCGCCTTTGGCCACCACAGCGCGCTTGCACGATGATGGCGACGTGTCTATCGAGCGCGATGCTGGGCCCCGTTCGGATTTCGAATTTGGGTTCCTCATGACATTGGCTGACATTGACGTGTGAAAAAGTCGTGGGTCCTCATCCCCGTTACGAAAGTTAATTCATCTTGGCTAAAATTGACATGTGTGGGCGCTGTGGTGAGAAGTGGTATGGGAGTGATTCTCCCTTGTGGTTTCATACGGGGAGAGATTCAGAGTTGCCTGGAAGTGACCGGGAGTGATTTCTCCCTTCTGATTTACGGGGAAGAGATTTTATCCTGAATTGGTTATATACTATTAATGCTACCAGGAAGAACCCCGGAAATCTCTCCCGCCAAGCCATGCTGAAAACTGCCGTGCTAGGAGTCTACGGGGGGAAGGGGGGGCCACCCGGAGACGCCCTAGTCGTCAGTGCTCAAGATGAAAAACTTTCGTAACGGGTAAGTAGTAGTAGTAGTAGTAGTAGTAGTAGTAGTAGTAGTAGTAGTAGTAGTAGTAGTAGTAGTAGTAGTAGTAGTAGTAGTAGTAGTAATAGTAGTAGTACTAGTAATAGTAGTAGTAGTAGTAGTAGTAGTAGTAGTAGTAGTAGTAGTAGTAGTAGTAGTAGTCCTATTAATAATAATCACAATGTACCAATAGTCGTCGCAACAACAATCGCAATCGTACTAACACTAGTCATACACAACTATTGAACTAACAAACATATCACACCCCTCGCGTGTTTCGCGTTTCTTTCTCTCAGGAACTCCACCGGAGGCGCCACTGGCCCAGTTTGCACGCGTCCCCCAGGCTCATTGCGCCACGCTGATGGCGGCAGCGGGGCGGCGGGTGTGGCGGCGGCGACAGCGGCGGAAGCGATTGCGACCGACGGCCACGACGACGGGGGGGGCAACGCGAGAATCATTCGACAACTTCCCCATGGGTGGCTGCTCGTCCTGAGTCGATGTGTGAAGGTCATGGGGCTGAGCGGCAAGGGCGACCTCCAAAGGCCGAAAACGCTGAGAAACCTCCTGTGGATTTCCGCGCCGTTTTCCCTTCCCCCCCTCGTCGGGGCGGCGGCGGCGACGGCGGTGACGGCGATGGCGCCAGAGGCTTCCAGAAGCCCCTGGGAGCTTCTCAGAAGCCTTTGGAGCCTTTTCAAAAGCCTTTGGGACGTCTCCGAAGCCGCTGGGAGCTTCCTCCAAATCCTCTGGAGGCTTCCAGAAGCTTTTGAAACCTTTTCAGAGGCCCATGGGGCCGTCTCAGAGGCCTCTGGAAGCTTCCCTCTTGAGCTTTTCCAGAAGCCTTTGGAGACTTCTCAGACGCCTCTGGAAGCTTCCCAAAAGCCTCTAGGGGTGTCTCAGACGCCCCTGGAACCTTCTCAGGCCTCTGGAAGCTTCTAAACAAGTTGTTGGAGCTTCATGCCTCTAGGGGCTTCGCAGAAGCTTCTGGAGACTTCTCAGAAAGCTATGGCAGCTTCCCGAAAGGCCACTGGAAGCTTTGCAAAGGCCTCTGAAGGCTTCTCAGAAGCCTCTGGAGCCTTCCCAAAAACCTCTGGGGGGTTTCTCAGAGGCCTCTGGAGCCTTAAAGCCCCTGGGATCTCCCCATAAGCATTTGGGAGCTTCCCCAGAAACCTCCAGAGCCTTCTCAGGGGCCTCCGGAGACTTTCAGAAGCCTCTAGAGGCTTCTCAGCGGCCTCTGGGCGCTTCCTCAAAACCACTGGAGGCTTCTCTAGAGCCTTGTCAAAAGCGTCTGGAGGCTTCTGAGAGGCCTCTGGAGGCTTCCCTGGTGGCCCCTGGGAGCTTCCCAGGAGGCTCCTGGGAGCCTCCTCAAAAACCTCTGGAGGCCTCTGGGGGCTTCTCAGAAGCCCATGGGAGCTTCTCAGAAGTCTTTGGTGGCAGGCTTATCAAAGCCCCTGGGGACTTCTCCGAAGCCTCTGGGAGCTTCTTCAAACGTCTCTGGAGGCTTCGCAGAAGCCTCTGGAGGCTTCTCACAGGCCACTGGGGCCTTCTCGGAGGCCTCTGGAGGCGTCTCGGAAGCCTCTGGGAGCTTCTCAGAAGCACCTGGGAGCTTCTCAAAGCCTCCAGAGTCTTCTCGAAGGCCTCTGGAGCCTTATCAAAAGCCTCTGGAAGCTCAAAGGCTTCGAGGCCTTCTCAGACGCCCCTGGGAGCTTCCCAAGGGCCTCTGGAAGTCTCTGAGAAGCCCTCAGAAGACTCTGAGAAGGCCTCAGAGGCGTGTGGAGGCGGGCTGCATGGTTGCAAAGTGGCCGGTTTGGTTGCAAAGAGGCGGGTCTGGTTGCAAAGTAGCCCTGGCAGGGCTCTTCTGGTTGGAATGTAGCCCCTCTGAAAGAAAAAACAACACTTTCAGACGTTTTCTGATTGTAAATCCCCCTTCTGGCTGCACAGAAAACTAAATTTGGGGACCTTGGGGGGGGCCTGGGAGGGGCTGCGGGTCTCCGAGAGCACTAGCGCTCCCCACGAGGCCTCTGGAGCCTCCCTTTCAATACTCTGTGGCCTCCAAGATGCCTCAGAATCGATTTGCGCTTGCTGAAAAAAATCCAACGCGCGCAGGGGTCCTGAAGACCACCAAGATAGCCTCAGACTGTCCAAGAGGCCTCAAAGACGCCCCAAGAACGAGCCAAAACGACCCCCGAGTCGGCCCCAAGAAGCAAGAATCGTCAACATCCCGTGGGAAAGCGTATCATTTTGACATATTTGCATCCCTGGTCCCAACAGCGTCCAAGACGGCTCAAAAGGCCCCCATGATCGCTCCAAGACGGCCCGGGAAGCTCCAAAGAGGGCCCCGAGACGGCCGGAGTCGGTCCTGAAACGGCCCAACAGGGGCCCAAAATGGCCCCAAAGCGCCCCAACAAGGCTCCAAGAGAGGTAACTCGAACTGACATTCCCGGCCTTCCGCCCCAAGAGGACCCCCGAGACCGCCAGCAGGCCCAAGAAACTTCCAAGAGGCCCGAAGAGGTCCTCAAGAGGCCCCCACTGGGTCCCCAAGAGGCCCCCAAAGACCTCACCCGTTGACTTCATCCCTCTTCTGGGGGTCGGCAGATTGGCGTAAGCCTCTTGAATAGAAACGTATTCGACGCAATGTGAGGGGATGGGGATGGGCGGGAGGGGTACAGTGCGGGCGCGGTCGCAAGAAACCCTTGCAAAAAACCCAACACTGAAAACAAAACCCGGAGCACCCCGAACGCAGCAGCTTCTTCCACGACCGCGGAAGTCGCCGCGCAGCGCGCGGAGCGAAGAAAGCCAGGATACCCTGACGAAAAGCATATGGTTTCTTGATGTATGCCCCCACTGTAGGATGCCAGATGCGGCGCGAGCGGCGCACCTTGCATGCTCCTATACATCTCGATGAGCTTGCTTTCCCCTCTCCTCTGACTCACTCGTGACTGTCTCACCTCTGCCTCTTCCCTTCTCCAAATCTCCTTATGGATCATGCTTCGGGTGGTTTTGAGGTTTGGGGGGGAGAAACTTTCATTTCGATGTGCACCTCGACTTGCACTTCGATTCGCACATCGTTCGCAATTGGATTTGCATGTCCCACGGGGCAACCACGGGACAACTCACGGGATAACAAGTTTAACAGCCACGCACGGGACAGCCACAGGACGACCCACAGGACAACCGCTCAGGACAACCTCACGGGACAACCTGCAGGACACCCGTGGGCCCACAGGACTGACCTGCGGGATATCCGCGGGTCAACCTCGCACGGCACAGCGAGACAAGAGGGCGACATACTTTGCCAGACTCTTCCCTCCTTGGCCGACACTTCATCGCCCTCGGGCAGCTTCGCCTCGACCGCACGAACGACACGAACCGAAACCAACTTTCCAGTTGGGGCCACTTCTTTCTGACCCCAACCTTCGATTTCGATCCTACCGTCGCGGCGCGTCACAAGGGTGCAAGGGCTGACCAGCGGAATCGCTAAGGATGGGCCGAAACGGCGACCATGCAAGGGCATCCTTGCGATGCGAAGTCACATCACCCTTGCTGCGCAAAGACATGCCTCCCTCCGTCCCTCACTCCTCTGAGGGGTAACGATAGGGGGACAGGTATAGGGGGGGATGCATTGACCTGGAATCGGCGATACATCGTCGATAGATCGGCGATAGGCCCCCGATAGCGAATCCGCACCTTCCTGGGCTGGGTGGGGCTATCGGGTCCCTATCGGCGATCAATGGGCGATTGGGAGTCGATGCACCCCCTCTATGCCTACCCCCTCTATCGTTGCCCCCGATCCTCCTGCATTCTGCGCAACGCGACGCGACCGGCTGGGCCGCGGTCCGGTCCTGGAGGTTTTCTCCTCGGGCTCCTCCTCCATCATCGCTAGCCGGCGCTCCTACTGGGGAGCAGGGCAAGAGGGCGAGGAGGGCATTTCACTCCTGCTGCTCCTCATCCTCCCCTTTCCGCGCTCTCGCTGGTGGTCGATGCGTCTCCTCGTCCTAATCCTCCTCCTCTTCCTCCTCCTCGATGATTTCCCTTTCCCTAAACCACCTTCTCGTCCTACTATTATTGTGTCTTCTCCTCCTCCTCCTCCTCCTCCTCCTCCTCTTCCTCCTCCGCCTCCCCCTCCTCCTCCTCCTCCTCCTCCATCGTCGCCTTCCTCCTCCGCATTTTTCTTCTCCTGCGTTTCCCCTTAACCCTGCTTCCCCCTTCCTGAACATCGTGTGCAGATTACTGTGGTGGGACACCGCTGCTCGGATCGGAAAATCGTGCCGTTACGTCAGGGAGCGAGGCCAGGCTGCGATTGGCCCATGGGGGCTGGACGCGAAGGGTTTTGCCCCGACCACTGCGTACCCTGCATGTCCTCACCTTCCTCCAACTTCTCCTCCTCCTCCTCCTCCTCCTCCTCCTCCTCCTCCTCCTCCTCCTCTTCCTCCTCCTCCTCCCGCTCTGCTGCTGCTGCTGCCGCTGGTGTTCCTCGCCTCACTGGCCTCGCCTGCGACCCTCCGGGCTCCTCTGCCCTGGTGAGGTCCTTTACGCCAGCCTCCTGGGTCGCGTCGGCCGGGTCCTGCGGCGCCGCTCCCCCCCCCATCCTCGAATGAACGAACGAATGCCACTGCGGACAAACGTCGGGGCCGTGGCCCGTGGATGTCGCGCGAATCAAAAACATGACATAAGTGGAAGGAAGAGGGGAAGGACAGAGAACTGGGGAAAGAGGGATGACTACATGTAAAATCTTGTCGCGAGGAACCTCCGCCGCCAAACTTGCGAGGAACGCTCGGGAATTACTCGACGGAAGGACCCCACGTGAGAATCTTTCTTGCTTGCCCTCACCCTTTTTCTCCTCGACCTGACGGACACTCTCCTCTCCCCCGCCGTTCTGCCCTCACCTACTCCCCATCCTTCTATTTATGCTACTCCTCCTCCTTCTCCACTTCCTCCTCGTCATCACCCCCTCCCTACCCCTTCCCCGTCCTCGTCCTTCCCCTGCTTCTTCTCCGCGCGCTCCTCCCCTCCAAAATGGTCGGGGCAAGCAAATCGATGTTCCTCGGCGCCGTCGCCGCCGCGGCCAGAGCGCGCGCATTCCCCGGCGGCTGGTTCGCGAAGCCTTTGGGGCAACCCCGCGGGCCGCTGGGGCGCGGGGGCAGGCGGTCGGGGCAGCCCCGCGGGCCAAGCCGTCGGGGCAACACCGCGGGCTTCGCGCGGGGCGCAGCCGCGTTCAGGCGGGAAGCAGCATGAACCCAAGCTCTGCGGCGAGCTGCTCGGCCTCATCCCTGGGCGTCTCCGCTCTCTCGTCGAACTCCAGGGGCGCTTTCCGCAAGGAAGCCGGCGGCCCGCGCTCCAGAAACTCGCGCGAGGGCGGCCGCAGGATCAGCGTGTTCCGCGTGCACGTGGCCGCGGAGGAGCATGGCGCGGAGGTGCAGCCACCGCTGGTCGCCCGACGCGCCCGTGCGGCCAGCGTCCTCGTCCCTCGCGCAGTCGATGGTGACGCCCTTGCGGAGCGTCTGGCCCTGCGACAGCGTGGAGGTGATGTAGGACGCGTGAGCCAAAGTGAACCCCGAGCGGCGCACGGTGTGCGACCCCGAGCTCTGCCACGTGAGCTCCTGCTCGCTGGGTCTGAACATCAGCAAGCTCATGCAAGCTCCGAGCCCGCGCCTCGGCCTGGCCGTCGTCGTCGGCATCTTCGGCGCCCTGTCGCAGCGCCTCGGCAACCTCCTGGTGGATCGGAGACTCCTCGAAGCCGTGCACCTGCAGCCAGATCTCCTGCGGTAGGAAGCGGGGGCGAAAGAGCTGGCCTGCTGGGCACTCCGCGTACCGCTGCTCCGCTGCTCGTCCTCGTGGTGGAACTCGAAGGACACCATGGTGGCCGGTTGCTCCTGCACCAGCCCCAACTTCTTCTTCAGCTCCTCCTGCACGGCCGTGAACCGAACCTCCATGCCGATGTGTGACGGTAAGACGCCGTGGATGTCCCCCGTCAGGAGGCGCCGACCCGCGTCGGGTTCGCCCTGAATCGTGCCGCACTCGTCCACGGCCTGCAAGAAAACGAAGGGCGCGCCCAGGCCCGGACACAAGGGGCTACCCCTGCGCCCGGCCGCTGTCTCGTCGTCGTCGTCGTCGTCGTCGTCGTTGTCGTCGTCGTCGTCAGCTCCTCAGCCGCCCTTTCGGGCACGCAGGCCCATGACAACAACAAATTTGCCGACGACTAGCTCCGACGAGGCTACCCGCATGTCGCTCACAGACGAAACTCCCTCCTGAAACTTCCCCCGTTGCCTGGCCGCAGGAGCTGAGGAGCCCTTCCCCCGCATTCACGCCACAGGAGCTGAGGAGCCCCAAAAGTGACGAAAGTTACAGGGATCCGATGACCCGTTCGGATTACCAACATGAAGTGCGGGACCCGTCATGGCGGGGAATCGCCGCGCAGGCCGCTGGAGGCTTAAGTTTTGGCCCAAAAGTGACGACGGTTACACGTTTCGGATGACCCGCTCGGACTACCAACGTGCAGCGCGGGACCCATAGGGAGAGGGTTCCCGCCTGAGACTTCCTCACTATTCACTCGCACACGGGGCTCCCGCTTGATACTTCCCCCAAAATCAAGCCTGAAGAGCCCAAAAATGACGACAATTACACGTTTCGGATGGCCCGCTCGGATTGCCAACATGAAATGCGGGACCCATAGGAAGGGGGTTCCCGCCTGAGACTTCCTCACAAGTCACTCACAAACGAAGCTCCCGCTTGATACTAATTCAAGCCTGAGGAACCCAAAAATGAAGACAATTACACGTTTCGGATGAGAAGTGCGGGACCCATGGGAACGGGGTTCCCGCCTGAGACTTCCTCGCAATTCACTCACAGACGAAGCTCCCGCTTGATACTTCCCCCAAGTTCAGACCTGAGGAACCCAAAAATGACGACAATTACACGTTTCGGATGACCCCCTCAGATAACCAACGTGGAATGCGAGACCCATAGGAAGGGGGGGGCGCGGAAGGGGAGAAAGGAAATTGTCGGCCCAAGGACGAGGTGATGGGGAAAAGAGTTTTCACGCCGCGCGCCCGATCGCCCGGGCGCGGTTGGGCGGCGCCTCGGGGGAGCGAGTGGGGGAGGAGTGCGATGGAGCGGGCACGGGCGCGCGGGCGGGCGGGCGCGCGGGCGGGGCGGGCGGGCGGGCACGCGAACGGGCGAGCGCGTTGGCGGGCGGGCGGACGTGCGGGCGGGCAAGAACCCAAGCGGGCGCGCGCGGGCGGGCAAGAACCCGTTCGGGTTTCGGGCCGTTCATTTGATTTCTGTCGTTGGGCGCGTTTGTGGCCAAGGCCCGCACTGGCCAGAACAACTTCATCGTTACTTATCACGAGTTCCTGATGCTAACTCAATCAAATCTATCAACTCAAAACTCGGGCGGCTGCGTCCGCATGGCGCCATTGAAACCATGCCGGCGCATCAATTGCAGCTTCGTGATGCCATAAAGACGCCTTACAGAAGGCCTGGGTGAAAAATTTCGCATGGCGCCGCGGCGCCTGGACGCTTCCGAACCGGGCGCGTTGCAACCTGGTGATTTTCAACGGGGCGAATGAAAGCCGGATGAATGTAAACAGGGCAAACTAAAACAGGATAAATTTAAATCCGGCACATTAAAACTGGACGAATGTAGAAACAGCGAATAGAAACCACACGAAAAGAAAAACACATGTAAACCACATTTAAGCCAGGCAAATTCAAACCAAACGAATTCCAACGGGGCGAACCACAATCGGATGAAATTCAATCGGCCGGATTAAAGGTGGACTTCTTCTGGAAGGTGATGAGACAAGGCGAACGAGAAACTAGCGAATTGGAACCTGATGAATTTTAACCGGCTAACTTGAAACCAAATGATCGTAAACCAAGCGGAATAAAACTTGATGGATTCAAACGCGGGCGAATTAAAATTTGACCAAATAGAACACAGCCGAATGAAAACTGGATGCTATCAAACGCGTAAACCTACCTCAGCAGGTGAATATAACCATGTGAATCTTAACGGGTGCACCCAAACGGGTGAATAATTGGGTGTAACAACGAAACAAGATCGGCCGGTAGTAGTAGCACCGATGGTGGAAACTATACGGGCAGTACTACGAAGAATTCTAGTACTACTGGCGGTGCTAATAATAATACTGATAATCGTAATCGTAGTCAAAAAATGTAAGAGTAGTAGCCGTCGTGATTTTAGTAGTAGTAGTAGTAGTAGTAGTAGTAGTAGTAGCACCAGTAGTACCAGTAGTAGTGTTCGTGGTAGGGTAGTGGTAATACTATGAGTAGTAGTAGTAGTCGTAGTCGAAGTAGTGGTAATAGTAGTACTAGTAGTAGCAGCCGTGGTCGTAGTAGTAGTAGTAGTAGTAATAGTAGTAGTAGTAGTAGTAGTAGTAGTAGTCGTGGTAGTAGTAATGATAATGATAGTCGTAGTAATGGTAGGGATGGTAGTAGTAGTAGTAGTAGTAGTAATAGTAGTAGTAGTAGTAGTAGTGGTTGAAGCAAATTCAGTAATTACATGAGTTGTCGTAATGAAAAATATTCGTAGTAGTCGGGGTGGTAGTAATAGTGGTGGTAGCAGCAATATAGTCATAGTGATAGTAGTCGTAGTAGTAGTAGTACTCGTCGTAATCGTAGTGATAATAGTAGTAGTAATAGTAGTAGTAGTAGCAGTAGTAGTAGTAGTGGTAGTAGTAGTAGTAGTAGTAGTAATAGTATTCGTAATATTAGTAGTGACAGTAGTCGTAGTCGTACTATCAGTCGTAGTATTAGTAATAATCGAAGCGATGGTAATCGTAGTCGTAGCGGTAGTACAACTTGTAGCGAAAGTAGTGGTAGTAGTGGTAGACATGATAATAGTAAAACTCAATAGTAAAAGGTAATATGTCGTCGCGATGATAGTAATTGTGATAAGAAGCTGCACAGTAATCATAAAAAACAAACATAATCGGATTCGTAATCGCCGCGCCGCACCAGGGGCATGAGTAATCAGGAGTGGTAACCATAGTAATAAACAGGAATGATCAAATTAACAATAGCAGTAGCAATCGCAGTAGCAGAAGCAGTCGTAGTAGCAATAGTATTAGTAGTAGTAGTAGTAGTAGTAGTCGTCGTCGTCGTCGTAGTAGTAGTAGTCGTAGTAGTAGTCATAGTGGTCGTAGTCGTAATAGCCGTAGAAATAATAGCAGTGACAATAGTAGTAGTAGTAGTAGTAGTAGTAGTAGTCGTAGTAGCAGTAGTTGTAGTAGTGGTAGTAGTAGTGGTAGTAGTAGTAGTAGTAGTAGTAGGACTAGTAGTAGTAGTGGTAGTAAGGGTAGCAGTAGTAGCAGTAGTAGTAGCAGTAGTAGTAGTAGTAGTAGTAGTAGTGGTAGTAGTAGTAGTAGCAGTAGTGGTAGTCATAGTGGTAGTATTAGTATTAGTAGTAGTAGTAGTAGTAGTAGTGATAGTACGAGTAGCAGTAGTAGTACAAGTCGCAGTGGTAGTAGTAGCAGTAGTAGTACTAGTAGTAGTAGTAGAAGTAGTAGTAGTAGTAGTAGTAGTAGTAGTAGTAGTCGTACT